GTATAATATGGTATGTATGGTATGTATAATATGGTATGTATGGTATGGTGTGGTATGGTATGGTATAAAATGAGATTTCAACTGGACACAGACACTTCAGCTTCTTCAACATGCCATACTGATTAAAAATAAGTTTAAAAACTTTTGTTGATGAATGTGCTTTTATTCTGAAATCTATATTTTGTTTCAGTGTCTGGAAAGCGCCGCAGGAAGCAGGACCAGTGCTGCAGCCTCCTGAACTCCCTCTCGGCCATCAAATATGCCATCGTCTCCCTCTACATCCTGGTTCTTCTCACCATCTTTGGCCTTTGCCTGGCAGGTAGGACATGCGTGACCTGCGATATGAGATTATTTCAACTGTTGTTGTCAGTCTATGTTTTTTTCTGGTATTTTTGTGTTTATGGTTAATTTTATTCCTTTTGGTTTGTTCTCTGTGTCCTGCTCCCCTGAGTGCCACCATTTCATTTCCCCAGTCCTTTTCTACAGTTACACCTGTTCACCATTCCTATTAGTCTCAGCTGCAGCCATCTACTCATTACCCAAGTCTGTTTAGTTTTTCAGGTTTCACTTCAGCTTCAGTTGAGCATTGAGCATTATTCATACCAGGATTGGTTTTCCTCAAGTTCTTCTTTTGTAAGGAGTTGCTGCCACAACAGCCTTTTTGTTTTATTGTAATAAAGTTAAGTTTTATTTGTTTGAGCTCCCCAGGTCGGTGTGTATTCTTGGATCCAACCTCCTACAACCGTGACAGATGGTTTTAGGGCGCTGAACATTATCTTAAAGCTGGGATTGTGCAATACAAAGTGTTTGACACACAAAAAGGCTAAAATGTTTACAAAGCAGACGTTAATGTAAATATTATCAAAATCACAACTGTTCAGACTTTGTGACAATTTTACATTTCGTGCTTTCTCGTGAAATTTGCAGTTTGATAATAGAAATGCAACAATGATCTGTCTGTACGTGTCACATTTGAACTTAAATACCACGTGTGAACATCTGTCAGTGTTTTTAAGCTTGACAAGCTCAACCGTTTTCACAGCTACAAGAAAACCAGGAAGTGAAGTAAGATGGTGGCTTTGAAAAGCTGAATTCCTTTTGAGTTCAGCCTTTTATGACTCTTAATCCCTGACTGTGCAATACTTCAACCTACAGATTTGTACTTCAGTTTTCACACACAGCAAGTAATAATCAATTGGAATCATCACTGATCAGATCCAAGATAACTTTCTTTACTTACAGATTTGTGGACTTTAAAGGTTTGATAAAAATAAATTAATTAAAAAAAAAGATTGTGTCCACTGAATAAATCAGAACCGGCTGCCATGAAAGAACATGAATTAAAGAAAAGCATTGTTTAGAATTGCTGGATTTAGTGACTTGATAATTTAATCCCGTGGCCTGTGGGGTGTTATGAGTTTTGATCTTCCTGAAGTCACATCATTGTTGAGGTGCATCTGTTTTCTTCAGGAATCAACACAAACCAGACAAAGTGTTTACAACAAGTCGACAATGTGGAACCAAGTAGTGTTTGTTAGAGCAATGACACAAAACATCTAAAGACCTAGCATTCCTTGAAGGAATGCATATCGCTCGTCACATCCAATAAGTACATTGAGAGTGTCATTAAAATCTGCCTTTAGTCATGAAATATTTTGCTAACAAATAGGAATGTTGCCAGGTTCACCTGTTCATGAGTTGTAGCCATTTATATGTTTGCAAAGGTCAGTTTGCAATGGCAGCCATCTTATATTGGGTTAACTCTAAAAGATGATCAGTTGTAGTTGCACAGCCAATGACTACAAACTTAACAATATATATATTAAAAAAATGTAAGTGCCCGAAGTCCTGCAGTTAAAAATTCTGAATGTGGAGTCCAGTAAACTGTATCAAAAGTGTTTGTGCAAACTTCTTTATTAAGAACAATAGAAGCAATTTTATGTCACTTCCTTCTTGCTCACATGGCCACGCCCCTTTTTGGAGGAAACAGATTGTGTTAAACTACCAGTGACAATGCAAAATATACATTTTGTGGAAATTTTAACCAACGCCAGTTGCATTTTGTGGTTTTGTTCTCCAAACAGTGACAGGCAGTAAAAGGAGGAATTTTTATAGTAATATAGGTATATAATTTTATAAAAGTTATCACTGCGTCCAAAGCATAAAATCAGTTCTGTGGAACTCAGAAGTTATTTTGATGTCATTTTGAATCTGCACCCTCATTTTTTGTAAGAACACATCTGCAGCAACTGGTTATCCCACGTTAAAGGATGCTAGTTAGCATGCTGTATAAATATTTAAAAAGTTTATTGTTGCTTCCACTCACGAATAACAGTAAAAACAGTTATTCCACTGACAAACTAAGGCAGTGTGTGACACTTCAGACCACTGGGGGGTGTTAGTCAACTAATCTAATAAACTTAAATTTATATTTATAAAAGTTTTGTAACACATACTGATAATCAATAATCAGTGATCAACAGTGTCACTAAATGATTGCTTGTCTGATAGACCATAATCTTCCTAAAAGCATTAAAAGATGTTCCATTTACCACCAGTCAAAGTGGGGGGCTTGTTTTACAGAAAAAGGGGGGTGGGAAGATTTCCCGGAGGTTAATAATGTCTCAGAATGTGTTGTAGTCCAATTTATGGAAGAAACTCGCAAGATGGGCCAAGTTTTTATTTTAGTTTTCCAAACCTCTGATTTGTTGTTATTGGGAGAAACACATGCAGATTAATGGCAGAGAAAATAAATGGATTCATATTAGGAGACGCCTGAAACATATTATGTAGAAAACTTCAAAGAGAAAACTTTCCATTAGCCTTGTTCATCGTGTAGTAAAAAAAAGTCTCTGACCAAACAAACAACTGCCGATTTTCCAAAAGGTCGATTTAAAACGCCGTTCAAACACCACATCTCAGCTCTTGGCTCAAATAGACGTCAGTCCAAAGTGGAAAACTGGACGTATGGTTTATGGAAATTTGTATTAGCTGTTGTTATTTCATATCATTCAGTCTTGTAATAAGTTCCAGTGTTTTTCAGAGCGTACACGGCTGCGTTTTGGGGAAACCCTGGAATGTAGCAGTGAATAAGAAATGCTTTGGAGGTGCTCCAGACTGTTACCTTCTGAAAAGTGAACCCCCACTGTGGCCTCCGTGTAAATGTCAGCTCCTCTGATAAAAGAAGGCAGAACAAACAGAGGCTGATAATGACCGAGGGAGGGGGCGAAGAAGAGATAAAACTTAGGAGAGGCAACAGCAAGGCACGTTGCCTTCAGATCAGCAGCATCCTGGATGAATTTCCTGCTCCCATTAATGCCGAGTCAGCATTCACTGTTCGCCTGTTTATTGTTAATTTGGACCGTAACTGCTTCAGCATACTTTCATCCATCTCAGATATTCAGTTTTCAGGACATTACGGCTATAGTTTTTTAAACTTTTTTTTTTTCTTTACAACATTTTCCACATACATAGGTTTAAGATCTCTTCAAACCCTTGAAAACCTTTGGGTTCTTTAGCATGATTGCTCAATTTGTTGTTGTTAGCTACTATTCTGCTAGTTTTAGTTTTTAGTTACTGTTTAGCTTTTAGCTATTGCTTTGCTAGTTTCAGCTTTAAGCTACTGTTCTGCTTGTTTAACTTTTAGGTACTTTTTAGATTGTTTCAGTTTTTAGCTACTGTTTACAATTTTGCTTTTAGCTACTTTCTTTTGTTGCTGCTAGTTTTACTTTTGGTGTCTGTTCCTCCTAATTTAGTTTTTAGTTACTATTTTGCTTGTTTTAGCTTTTAGCTACTGTCTGCTAAATTTAGATTTTGGTTCTTGTTTTGCTTGTTTTAACTTTTAGTTGCCATTTTGATTTCAGCTAAAACAGTAATTTTAGCTTTTAGTTACTGTTTAGCTTTTAGCTATTGCTTTGCTAGTTTCAGCTTAAAGCTACTGTTCCGCTTGTTACAGTTTTTAGCTACTGTTTGCTAATTTTTGCTTTTATCCATGGTTCTGCTAATTTAAGGTTTTAGCTACTTTTTTGCTAGTTTTACCTTTAGTGTCTGTTCTTCCCAATTTAGTTTTTAGTTACTATTTTGCTAGTTTTAGCTTTTAGCTACCATTTTGCTTCAGCTACTTTTTTGCTTGTTTCTGTTTTTAGCTATTGTTTTGTTAGTTTTCGCTTTCAGCCACAGTTCTGCTAATTTAAGCTTTTAGCAACTGTTTTGCTAGTTTTAGCATTAGCTACTTTTCCTCAAATTTTAGCCTTTAGTTAATGTTTTGTTAGTTTTGGCTTTCGAGTGTGAAGCAGCTGGGATGAGAGTCAGCACCTCCAAATCTGAGGCCATGGTCCTCAGTTGGAAAAGGGTGGATTGTTCTCTTCAGGTCGAGGAGGAGGTTCTGCCTCTAGTGGAGTTCAAGCATCTCGGGGTTTTGTTCACGAGATAGGGGGAGAAGTTCAGTTATCTGGGAGAGACTTGGAGTAGAACCACTGCTCCTCCACATCGGGAAGAGCCAGTTGAGGTGGTTTTGGCATCTGGCAAAGATGCTCCCTGGGTTCTTCCTTAGGGAAGTGCTTTGGGCATGTCCAACTGGGAGGAGAGCCTGAGGAAGACCCAGGCCAGCTGAAAGACTTGTCTCTCAGTTGGCTTGGGAACGCCTTGGAGTCCTTCCAGAAGAGCTGGAAGAGGTGGCTGTGGAAAGAGATGCTGGACCTCCCTGCTCAAGCTGCTGCCCCGGAGACCTGATTTCAGAGCAAGAGGAAGATGATGGATAGATGGATGGATGGATGGATAGATGGATGGATGGATGGATGGATGGATGGATGGATGGATGGTTTTAGCTTTTAATTACTAAAACCCATATTTCTTCAGTTTAATGTAAAATCTTCCCTGTGAGCCACAAACATCAGCTTAAGCCACACGAGTGGACGCGGCCCTGAGTGCATTCCCAGGCTCGGCGATGTCGTTAAGAGCTTGGAACAGCTTCGCTGTCGTCGCAGCGGTATTTAGCTTTTTTTTAAGGCTTCTCGATGAGATTGTTTTAGAGAAGCAGTTAAGCCAGGCTTTTCAGCCCGCCTTTCTTAAATTAAAAGCCGTCCATCCAAAATCTAAGTGGCTCCAGAGGAGCTGCACAGGAGGCCCCCCTCGCCACACGCATTCAAACACACGGGCACACACACACACTCACATTTTCCACTAGGGTTCAGATGTAAAACATTCAGCTCT